GTGCCTCGTTATCAAAAATGAATCCAAAGGCTAATCCAGATTTAGGTCTTATGAATTATCATCCATATCCAAACAAGAGCTGAAAACATTTCATTTCTGGTAATTTGCATTCATGAAATGACCCACTCACATTATTAAATTAAAGCTGCATCTCATGGACCCAGAGTGCATCAGACACCCACAAAGACCTCCCTTTATTCTCCTTTGCAGACAATATTCTTTTCAAATGCTACCTCAACTTCCCCTTAATGTATTTCTGCTTCTCCAACTAATGTGATCGAATTTTCATGATGAGTTTCTCTGCAACTGTTTCCCACCAGCAAGACCCACCCACCCCTATCTTTTTTCTTCCTTTTTTCTTCCTTTACCACTGTTCTCCCCTCTAATCCATTTGTCCCAGAGGACGTAGATAGATACTCTCAGAGCATGTCTCCTCTATCTGATGCTTTCCTTGAGGTTGCCCCAAGTGATCAACAGCAAACATCTGCACAAAGATATGCCATATCAGCCACCCTCTGTCCTGTGCAGGTCATGGTGATTTATTCCAATCTTGGCCAGGCTGTGAGAACACAATCCTATAATTCTGGGGAATCAGAAATAAAAGTGTTATGTGTAACCTGTTTCTAAGATCCTCGATGTCTTTGGGAAAGTTTAGGCCAGCTCCTTTCAGCACTCTTCCTGCCGTATTTCTCATTTTAGCTAACCAACCTGCTTGTAATCAGTTAAATGGAGTGCTGAGTGGGATAAACAGTGAGGAGACAATGACCAGCAAGCCAGATGTCTGTGGCTGATCAATTCCTCCTGATGAATTGAATTTTAGAAAGCTACTCAACAGGCATGCCATCAAATTATTCCCCAGTATTAAAAAAATAATGGAAGTGACAGCACAGGCTCTAAGTGCAGGCCAGGTTTTAGAAGACCCTATTCCTATTTCTCAGAACTAAATCTTTGAGAAGGGCAAAGGTTGTTTTTAAATTGGATCTTTAATTTTTAAAAAGGCAGTCAACTTTTAGAAATTGAGCAGAGAAGCTCTTAAAAATATACCGCATTGGGCTTCCCTGGTGGTGCACTGGTTGGGAATCTGCCTGCTAATGCAGGGGACATGGGTTCGAGCCCTGGTCTGGGAAGATCCCACATGCCGCGGAGCAACTAAGCCCGTGAGCCACAACTACTGAGCCTGCGCGTCTGGAGCCTGTGCTCTGCAACGGGAGAGGCCGCGAGAGTGAGAGGCCCGCGCACCGCGATGAAGAGTGGCCGCCGCTCGCCGCAACTAGAGAAAGCCCTCGCACAGAAACGAAGACCCAACACAGCCATAAATAAATAAACAAATAAATTAAAAAAAATAAAAGAATATACTGCATTGATTTTTTTGTTTTCAGACAATTTGCACCAAAGGCAAACTAGTAGATGATAAAGTCTCATCCTGTATGTATTGCAAGTACCCTAACTGCAACCTCCCTATTCTGGAGACCATTCAGGCTACGTCAGGCTTGGGCCCAACATCATATAGGGCAGGGAGGAGACCACCTAGTAGTTAAGTATCTCAGGAGCTCTCAAGGCTCATCCGAAGATGTTTTGGTGAAGTTAATGATGGTATACAATTCTTGTGGTCAACAGGAGACAAGTTAGAAAGAAATAAATGTTAAATGTTCACTGAGCGGCACTATTGAGAATCAGTCAAGCCATAGGTTCTATATTGTAGTGAAAGATGTGTGTTGGTCCCTGTGTGAGTGGGATTTGTGATTTCATTTCAGAACCACCTTGTGGTACACGCTGATGTCCTATAATGTTACTGCCTCTCCCAATACCACCACTAAGAGCCACCTCTATATTTTAAACCCTATGCCAGGCATTATGCTCAATTCTGACTGAATTTTATAATTGATTTTTCACAACAAAATATGAGGTAGACAATATCATCTTCCCTTTACGGATCAGGGAATTCAGACTCTGAAAAGTTAGGAATTTGTCCAAGGTCACACAGCCCCTCATGGCAAAGCCAGGGTTTGAGCCCCATTCTCCCTAGCCCCCAAACACATGTCCTTAACCACTATTCTATGGACATTCAGCACGGTATTTAATGAGGGACACATGGACTTGTTTCTAATGCAATCAAATTTGAACAATATTGTGACTCAAATAATTCTCTATTTTGTTCACATGTAAAGAAAAAAACCTTTCTGGTCCCAGGAATTATTGTTGTACTTTGCATTTCTAAGAGCATATGTTAAAACTAAAGACAATTCCTTGCAGATGTAAGACATAGGCTGATAACACTGGCCTGATTTGTGCGTTCAGTTGGATGCTACAGTCACCTCCCCTACCTCCCCCACTCCTTTTACATAAAAGGTTTAGGTTTTCCCGTCTGTCCTACACTCTCTATTCTGCACAGCTTTGCTGCTCCACAGCTTTGCTGCTGACAAGCATTTCTTGGGAGCTGGGTTTGTGGCATAAAATTTCGTGGCACTGTATCAGTTTTAACACTTAAACCTTAAGATTAGGGCTTCAGTTTAGAAGACAAGGCAGGCAGCTCTGGTTCAGAGAGGTGAGGATGTAATAGGTTTCTGTTCTCCCCTGTGTAACCATTCACACAAGTCTATGTTAGCCAACTTGGATTTCCCATAGATCGTGCATGGGTTACCAGAACATTTCACTCAAAACGAACTTTTAAGAAAATAGGAAACCTGCGAAATTACAAAGTTTACAAAACACTTTAATTCCTACAATGACCTGGGGGTTAAACACACACACACAGCCCTACACACAGCAACTAAGTTCTAAAGAGCCCTTAAATCATTAGTTAATACTAACCATTTGGAGTGCGCAATTTATCCAGTGATGGTAATCAAATTGCCAACCACTGTAGGCTGCAGTGTGCCAGGGAGGAGATGAGAATCTGTAATTTTGTTTAATATTCTTCTTTTCCTCCTTGCTTTGAAAAGTCCATCCTTTCAAGTCCCGCATCCCAGAAAAAAAGACAGAGAGAGAGAAAGAAGGGAAGGAAGGAAGGAAGGAAGGAAAGAAGGAAAGAAGGAAAGAAGGAAAGAAGGAAAGAAGGAAAGAAGGAAAGAAGAAAGAAAGAAAGAAAGAGAAGGAAAGAAAGAAAGAAAGAAAAAGAAAAAGAGGGTGCTGGAAAGTGGAAAGCCCTGGGGTGAAAGAAGACTCCTCACCCTGGGTTCAGGGTTATCTTAACCTCTTCTCCGCTATTTATTTAACTTGCGTGTACAGCCAAAAGGAAGCCACTACTCTGGGGTCCCTGGGACAGATTAAATCCCTGGTGACCCACTTAACACAGTAGATTGTTTTAATCAACTCGTGTCCTGGCACCATCTCGAAGGGGAACATAAACAGACGCGCACACCGCTTGGATCTGCTCTTTCCAGCGGGAGATCCAATTACCTACCGATGGTCGCCTCTCCGCCCTTGTAACATTTAAGAAGAGATTTTTAACCCCTAACTTCGAGGCTATATTTCTGTCTAAAAGAGGAGAAAGCAGCACCCAGATATGACCAGGGAGCCAGCTCTGGGCGCGCTGGAAGGGCTTCACTGGAGAGGCTCCTCTCTGCCCCCTGCCTCGCCCGGGGGGCCATCACCAGAGCCCTGCGCGGGGAAACGCCAGGCTGGGGTGCCTCCAAGGCAGAGCTGGGATCCGAAGACAATGCCAAGCCAGAGCGGTGGCGCGTCTGTTCTTCCTAAGCCAGAAATCTACAAGTAACTCCGGCCAGCAAGGTGACGGCCCAGACACCCCACCGCCCACCGGCCTTGCTCCGTGAGCGGCAGAGGGGTCAGCAAAGTGGCGGGGGAGGACGAGGGATGACCTGGGCGTCCAAGCCCGGGGACCAGCCTCCCGCCGCCAGTCCCGCCTAGTCCGTCTCTAGGAAGGCGCGGCGAGGTGAGGCAGGGGCCTCTCGGACACAAATTAAGGGGTACCCGCACAAGTGGGACCCGGCAAGTTGTCACTGCCCATCGCCCGGACGCCCGCGGTTCA